CTGCAGTCAATACAGGACATCGGCTCTTTGATAAAATAAAACTAAATGAAGTAAAGGAGCACAGCCAAGCAGTAACACTTTGTTACAGAATGGATGCTGCTGAATTTACAAAAAAAAAAAAAAAAAAAAGTCTTGGCATCCCATATTGACATAAACTGAATAAACTGCAGAATCTATGACAAAAATAAAAGATACAAAACAGCATATATGTCTTGACTTAAAGTACATTAAATGTTTTTTTTGGAATATCAAGGCGTTATCTAACTGTTAATTACCGCAGTGTGCACAGCGTTAGAAGCGTTCCTGGACACCCACAGAGCTGATATGCATTTAGGAAAAATAAAAATAAAGCATTTGGTTTTGAAGAGATGTGTAAATGATCCAGACCTCAGAGCTGAAACTCTCCACTGTCCCGTCACAGGCTCCATGTTCTGCGTTCACTCAGACGTCTCAGAGATGCTGCAGAAAACCACGGCTGAGCAGATACTGAAGGCCAGTGGTGCTGATTTGTACTGTACACTCAAAACACGTAACTTTACTCTGTTATTTCGCCTAGAAAAAAAATAAATCACATAAACTCAGGTTACATAAATGCTGTCAGTCAGCATTTCTACAACATGTGGCACTGGTGAGAATTAGTAATTAATCGCCTGAACTTTGTATGAACATGGTTTTAACTCAAAAATGGCAGAGTGATATGAAAGTAAATAAAAATACTATAATAACCAATAATCCCTTTGATTACATTACTGACTGCAGGTTTGATCTTTTTAACAAATGATGTAAAATTTTCTCTATAAAGACAAATCCCATGAAAAGGCTTAGTAACACCAACACGTACTGTGTATCCACAGACCGATGTATCAAAAACACGCCAATGACATGTTCTTTCATTACACTGAACACACACTGTAGTGTATTTCACACACCGTCCTGCTGCCCAAAAAATGTGTGTATTAATCCACTGCTTGAAATAGTCTGCAACAAATGCACTATTTCCTTCTGTTTGTTTAATAATTACAGATTTATAATATGAAAGTAACTATTTTTGATAAAAATTTCCATCTTCTCCAGGATCAATGAGAAACACAGACGGAGGGGAAGTTGGGAACTCTTGAGAGATGTTGAATGTTGGATTTGGCTTTTTCATGGAATTTGTTCACAATAAGAAAAATATAGAATAATGCCTGTTTTACTCTTTAATGTAAGAAACTTAGAAACCTATAAACTTCTCCCACTCAGAACCATAATGTTAGGTGGTAATACACCCACAGCACCAAGTTCAGACTCCAGATTACAACTCCTAAACTAATCTAATGTCAGGAAGGCGGAGCGGACACGTCTACTTCCTGGCCTGCCAAAGACGACTACAACGACGACGACGACGCACCACTGTTTTGTTTGCTCACAGCTCGTCCGACGTGACTTCTGTAACTGAACATGAATCGATGTATCTGTGACGGGCCGACTCCGGCTTTCAGCTGCGCTCCGACACCCAAACTTCACATGAAAAATCTCAACATGACACTGATGGATACAAACAAGGTTATAGTTCAACAGCAACAAAAAGAAAAAAGAAAAAGAAAATAGTCAAAGTCAACAATAACTATGTTAATATTTGAGATGTACGTATGGTCACCAGCCATAACATGTTAATACATATGGTACTTTAAATAATAATACACCTAAATGAGTAAAAGTATCACCTCTGCAAAAATTATGAAAAAAAAAAGAATAAATAATTGTATCTACTTTAAGTACTGATTCATATGGCAGTGACACTCAAAGAGTCTGAATATGATCCTGATGCTGCCTCTCAGTGAGGAGCATCAGGAGAACATGTTAAAGGTGTAACATCAGTTTCCCCCATTCAGGATTCAAACGGGTTCATGTCACATTTGTGCTTTGGTGGAATCTTCATCCTCGTTCACAAACGCACAGATGACCGGTGTGTGTTCGGCTCCTACACACTCAAGAGTATAAAGAGCAGAAAAACACAACACACTGAGACAATAATCTGAAGAGTGCGGTGTCACGGCTGTAAAACTAACGACGCACACTTTCCCTGTGGTGTGTGTGGACTGTTTGAGTGTGCACAGATATGAACTGTGCTGTCAAGCCACCGTCACTGGATCTGACTCCACATTCAACTAGTCAAAGAATGCGGTTTGGGCTCCAGACAAGAACCATAACAGGATTTCTGCATGTTTTAGCCCATTAAATACAGGTCACACAGTGGAGGCATCACTGCTGGCTCTTTCTAAAGTGTACTGTAGTGTTTTAGATTTCCATATTATATTTCCCTTAACTTGTAGGAGGCCGGTGGTTTCTCTAATGGTATGAGATTGAGGTTGTATTGATCTGAAACTTGCTTGAGAAGGTGATTAATCAACATTTTGTTTAAATTATTGCTGTGTGGTAATTCAGTTTCAGGTGCAGATCTTTACAAAAGCCTGCAATAGCGCTGCAATGATTAGTATTTTAATCAATTAGTGGATCGAAAGAAAATTCATCCTTTATCGTTTCCGTCATTTTTTAAGAAGAATTCTAAACATTTACAAGTTCCAGTTTTTCAAATGTGAAGATTTACTGTTTTCCTTTCACATATATGACAGTAAATTGAATATCTCAGTATTCTGGACAAAACAAGCACAGTGGAAAAGACACAGAAGACAGTATATTGGGCTCTGAGAAATTGTAAATGCCATTTTTCACTATTTCATATACTAAACCATTAACTGTGAAAATAATCTGCAGATTGATCAATTATAAAAATAATCATTAGCTGCAGCCCCGGCCTGCACTGAACCTCAAACCAGAAGAACTTGAAGTAAATGCACAATGACACAGTATTTACTGTTAGTGTGTGTGTCAAGAGTGTCAAGACTGTTCATTTCAATACCATAATTAAATGAATGGAAACTATTGTTAAATATCTTCAAATCATAGTAAATGGGCTAAAACATGCACAAACACTGATATGGTTCTTTAACCGTGTGGGATGATTCAGCCCAGGAGTATTTTCATCTCTAACGTCCACCATCAGACAAGCAGAAATCATTTCAGGTCAACGAGAGGTGTCAGGAGCTTTTCGTCTCTGCTGCGGGATTGAACATTGCCGTGTGATGTGGCTCTACCGCTTCACTTTAGTCTTTTCTGTCCACTGAGACTGTAGCTCTACTTTCAAGAGTTGGTGTCAATCTCATCTCTTCAATCTGCTCCGATTCATCCGACTCCAACGCACAAAACTGCTGCTTGAGCCTTGAACATTTGGAGTTTAGTGTATCACATTATCATATCAAGTGCAGGATACAAAGGAAGTACTATAGAATTGTAACAAACTAATGAAGAAACTAAAACAATAATAATCAACAGCCCTCAATGACGACCATTCAGGGTCAGAACTCTCAGCACACGTGCTCAATTGAAAGCGGCACAGAGGGGAGTTTCCTAACCAGCTTATTTTAATATAAACCTATTCTTATAAAGTCTGTTTTCCATACACAATAAACTGAGGATAAATATTAAGACACAGAATAACCATGAGATTCAGAATAAAAAAAAAAAAGAAAATATATTCCATGTAGGCCTGCACTGACAGACCAGACAGAAGACCATGTTACACAGGCAGTCTCTGAGACTAAACCAGGACTGGAGTTTCCCCAAATGTTCCTCAATGATTTTTCAATGAGATGCCGTTGGTTCACAGTGTCTGTGTGTGCATGGACTTCAGCGTCTGTGCCGCCATGACTGTGTTTGGCCAGCAGGTGGAGGTAAGCACTAGTGAGACAATCTCTGGGAACACTACCCTTCATGGATTGACAAGTGTGTGATTTCTCCGATGTTGCAATCGGTCAACACGGTCCGCGTGGAAACCAAATCGACCTCCTGTTTTGTTCTACTTCACACATTTCACAGTCTTCCTTTTCCACTGAGAAAGATATTTAGTTGTAACATGCAGCTTAAGCATCTCACCCTGCTTTAGAAAAATTACTGAGCCCAGTTTCTGAACATGCAGACAGATCCCACTGACGACAAAGCCGCATTCATCTCCCATTTACGTGTACACGAACCTACATTTTCATGTATTGTGCCTGCAAAGGCTCTGAATTCAAAGAGTTCATACAGTACATGCTGTGGATAAACAATATGTAACTGACCGGTGCCTAATTGACCTCCTCCTACACTCACTCACATGAACAGACTCACAACATGATTAGACATGACATCATCTTCCTCCGTCATCTTCAGCCGATCAAAGGTCCTGCCTCTGATGTCTTTAAACATCCGCTTCCCTTTCCTGCATCACTTCAGCTTTATTCTTTCTTCCCTACTTTCTGTGTCTTTCTCCACCTCACCTTCTTCCTCTTATCCATCTTCATACATCTGCTCTACCTCCCTCTCTCTCATTCTCCTCTCTCGTTCTCTCTTGGTAAATGTTCGAGGGAACATTTGTGTCTTTGTTGTTGGCTGATAAAATAAAGGATAAGTAGGTCGGTTGTAAACTAGCGTGACAGCTACTCATGGGAATCAGCCAAGGCTTTACAGAATATAACACGATTCATACCTGAAATTCATACATGTTTCTGTACCCTTTGAAAGTAGCATCATTATGTAAACAATAAATACATACAACACAAATAAATGATTTTTTTGCCACCCAATACTGAGCAAGAGGCCTTCCCAAGCTCTGAAAGCATCCTGGACACTCTGTCCTCACTGAAAACAGTCCAGGAAATCCCAAACTTCCTTCTGCGTCCTTGTAGCTCTGCTTGTCTTGTCTTGTTTTTGGGTCTGAGGTACTGTTATGGATTTGAAAGATGCCACGAGCTGTGGTCGATGTGCAGGGACCAGAAGGTGTTGGAGAGGGAAGGGGCCTCAGTCTCACTGGGCCCTGATCCAGAGGGCCAGCGTCTCCCTTCTGCTGGGGCTGACTGGACTGCAATACTGCTTCTGGACTCCCCGGTGGGGGTGGGGGGGGTGGGGTGGGGGCGCTGTACACACACTGTCCAGGTCGTGTTCAATGCTTTTCTCTCTCCTCACCCAGATGCAGGTGACTGTGAGCATGCTGGCGGAGCAGGAAGTGTGTTTTTCCGACCCAATGGACGGTGCCAATGTGATAGCTTGTGTTGGCCGTTTGATGATCGGCTCTCTTGTGTTTCTTGGATCCCGCCCGGTCCTTTGGTTGAGCTCTACCATTGGCTACAGGGAGAGGGAACGGGAGGGCTGGTGACCTCGAGGTGACTTATCGTGAGAGAGCCCCGTGAACCTGCGCTGTCCTGCTGCTCTCACTCAGGCCTCAGTTCATATTGTTGATGTGCGGTCAGCACCGTCTAAAGAGGAGAAGCAGAGAGAAGAGAAGGTGTCAGTGTTAACTAACTTCACCAGTGTCCACAGATAGGGTTAGAGTCACCGCGATGGATGTAGATTCAAGCGTCCTGATGAAGATGAAACTGTTAACAGTGAGCAGTGAGAAGGCTGCCATGAGTCCTCAGGCTCCAAACACTAACCCTTCCTGTTTCCCTGTCTTTCGCCCGGTGCATGCTCGGACCGGCTTCAGATTTCCTGTGACCCTGAACTGGAATAAGCTGGTACACAGGAGGGTTTCAGATCTCGTAGCAATCCAGCACCAACATACGACCATTTTCCTTGTTCCATGTGAGCCAGATAGATGCAGATTAGCCTGTGCTGTCCTTAAAACTACCGCAGCTTTTATGGTCGTCTGCCTTTGGAACGGATTTATTCTATTTCAACTATTACATCAACAACAATGACTCTACATTCTTCCTAACCATGTTTACACCAGAGTATTTATTATAAGCACTGTATGAATAAAGCATCATCTGATTTGAAGTGTAGTCATGATCTTACTGTGCCATGAGCTGTGTGTAAAGAAGGCCTGAAGCGTTTCTGACTTGGTGAACAGTGAGGGGCCAGGGCCCACACTGTCATGGTGAGAGAACAACACATCTGTCAAAATACTGATAGAGCCTTTCAGAGAAAAACAACAGTCTGACAGCTGTTGCCTCTGGTGTGGCTGAAGAGGAAAATGTTATCAGGCTACGCACTGGTGGACATTTTCATTCCATAGAAATAAAGCCTCCATTATGATACTGAAAGCGCAGGTTCGTGTCATTGTGTGCTGTTGTTGAATAGCAAAGCACAGACTGTGTAACACAAGATTCTGATACAAGCTAAAGCTGTGGCTACTAACACTTGATTTGATTAACAATCCAGTGCTCAAGTTCAACAGTATGCTGTTCAACTGTTGACCTGCATCCTTTCATCATTAGTTCACACCTAGTCTTAACCTAAATAAATTTAACTCTAATAAACTTACTGTGTCACCTAAAATAAACTCATGTTATAGTTCGTAGAAGCGATCCACCAATCAAATTTTTTTCTCCCAATATCGAGTCTGATACATCAACTCATGATTTCTGCCAAATCAGAGTAATAATCAGATACTAGTGCTCTCTTTTTCTCTAATTAAAAAATGCAATATTTTTTTTGTAAGGTGACACAAGGCAATGAATCGATATGGTGATATTAGAAACACTGTATTTTATAATGAAGGAACTGTATTCTGTGTGGATCCATCTCAAGCCAAGACTCACAAGTAGTTAACTTGTTGAGTTTTCATCTCAGCAGGTTTGACGTTTGGAAAAACCAAATCAAATCTGATGGACTTGTCTGTGTAACTTACGCTCGCTGGAGTTTAGGAATGTACATTATGACAAAATAGAGCAGCTTTATATGAGCAGCAGTCCAGTTCATTTTTATCATACCGGGCTTTCCAAAAACTACCAACCTCTGACTAAATGTCAACATCCTTTTCCTCACACACTCATGAAACATTGTGTTTTGGGTAATTTCCTGGAGCTGGTTTGGATTCAGTTACCAAGTTGTCTTTCTGAAGCCCATCAAAGCCGGCCTGATGTTTGGGTGCAAAAGACTAGAAGAAGGTAAAACTCTGACCTCGAAGGAGTTTCTTAAGTTAAACACACTCTGCTCAGACACACACACACACACACACACACACACCCACACACACACACACCCACACACACACACACCCACACACACACACACCCACACACACACACACCCACACACACACACACCCACACACACACACACACACACACACACAAAGCAGCACTTGTCCACCGTTCTGTGCCGAGCACTGAGGCCCACTGTCTTCACCTCAGTCGAGTTTTGGGGGAAGTTGGCACTGACTTTAACCCAGACTTAAATTCACTGTACATGTGAATGTTCTGTACAACCACGTCACCTAATGACTGACTTGACTAAGGCCATGTCCATTACATTATAAAGCTGCTAAACTTAAAAGTGCTTCTTCTGTGATCAAGGTTTTCTATTCACATTAGTACTGTCAAGTCATTTTCATAAGATTTGCTGCCCACACTGAATGTCAGTAAGTAGGGACTAGTCTGTCTTATGAATGAGTCTTACACTTAAAAATAAGTCTTACAACAATCAGATATCTGAGATCTCTAACAACTGCACATCATTTCAAATTTTAGGAAGGTTTAGAAAGTCGGTTTGGATGGAAAAACAAAAACTAAGGAAAAGAAAAAGAGTATTTTTATATTTTAAGTCGAAGTCAGAATACCAGACTGCCTTCGCTCATCGTGAACATGTGCACCTGAAACAGCAGGACTATGATGGGGCTTCACAAACAAGCACGCTACCTTTTCTGCAATTTTTCTGCCATTTCTTCCTCTAAAGTTCAATGTGAATACAACAAACAGCTGTTCTGCCAGCCTCTGCTACAACTTAGTTTGTGTAACTTTCATGTTGCATCATTAGAAGATAACACGGATGAAAAACTTTGTATGAGACTTCTTTAACTCAATTTATAACTGTCTGTGTTTTAAATATGATGTAATCCTCCAAATAAAGTTGCACAGCAGGTCATATCTGATGATGTAAATTACAGTTGTGAATGAAAGTCATTGTTAAACCCAACTTTTCTCCTCTGACTCTTCCCATTTTATTTCCCTCCTGAGCTGAACCGACCTCGGCTATTGCCAGAATTGCTGTCAAATTTCAAACTTGGCGAGTTTTGGAACTGCTTGGCCAGACTGCACTAACCAAATCAAACACATCTGAAAAACCATTGTTGGGCTCCAACAAGTCTGGAGTTATCGATGGGCCTGAATATCCAGACTTTATTCTGTTCACACAACAGGATAATTGGCTGGGGGTTTGAAAAGGCCAGTCGGCCTTAAGATCGGTGTTAAGATCAACTAAAGAGACCGAGCTTGAACATGACTCACGAACTGATGGACTGATATGACCTTTGGACACTTTGGAGTTTGCGTTTGGCTTTAAACATGACACACAAAGTCCTGGTGAGTCAGATCTAACTGCTGGCCTTCACAGACATGCTGAAGACTGAAGCCTGACAGACTGGAATCAAAAGTGTCCTGTTTATATGTTTATGTTCAGGCATGTCAACATTATTCCCCAGTAACAGAAACCCAGATAACAGAAACAATGAAAATAATTAAACTGCATATAAACACTTTACAGATTTCTGGTGGTTGTTTGCTACCAGTGCACTACTGTCAACAACAACCTGAGTGATGTAGTAATAAATCTTTACAATACAATACAATCTACACACTGTGATACAACAATCAAATGCCGGTGCTTCCTTTAGTGGGTGCCACAGCCCCCTGGGGTGACTTGAGGACAAGCCCAAGACCCCGAAAGTATTCAATGGTTTCCAAACATGAGTGTTTTCATTAACTGCATTTTCATATTACATTTTTAAACACATCAAAATGGAAGAACAAACATCCAAGTCTAACAGGAGGGATGCTTCGAACGTTCTTCTGTGTCTTATATTTTAAAGTTTAATATTTAGGAATTAAAAACTGTGCGTTACCTCCCAAGGCGTGCTCTGTCATACTCAGACACAGAGACTCAAGGCGATTGTTGATGTCTGGCTCTGTCACTGGTAACTGATGATCTGTATAGTGACAAAAACACATTTGATGCAACATCAGTATCAGTGATAAAAATATTCAGTACTAACAGATTTTTGTGAACAAAATGTCCTGATGATTTCCTACAGTCAATGCTCTCCATGGAAGATTTTATATACAATATCAGTGTCAACTAATCAAGTTCCTGATTCAGTGTTAAAAAGCTGCATCTGATTTTTCATGACTTCACAAACTCTCCATCAGAGGCCTGTGATCTTAATTAAACAAACTCATAATTCAATTTCTTTTTAGTAAATCTGACGAGCTGGAAGACAAAAAAAAAATGAATTCACATCAGCTACAAATCCACTGGGACAATGTTGTCTACTCAACCAGAGTGTCGCCGGGATAATCTGATTATACCACACTGTTAACTCCAGCACTGAGACACATGCTACATCAAAACAATCAGTGCACTGCTGCAACAGGGGCATGGCGTCTTTTGTCACTGAGCGTGTGTGTGTGTGTGTGTGTGTGTGTGTGTATAAACAGTTGAGACTGGACTGCGGACAAATTTTTACATTCACTAATTGACATTCTTTGTTTTGAACTGCATAAAATATGACATTTATAATTATTTCACACTATAATTATCAATGAACACTTTGATTAAATAAGGCAACAGAACTGATGCCAAGAAGCCTGATTTGAGACTCATGAAACCACAGAATAATGATTGTTGCAGTGTAATCTCCTCACAGTCTTTCCTAACCAATGGTAGCCTTCGTACACTGCCATAAAGTCCTGGTTAGAAAACTAAAAATAACGTTTGATGTGTTGTGTCTTCATGTAGTAGTGTTTAGAGACAGACACTGTGTGGAAGTTACCATATTTAATTTCTAGCAAAACCTACTTTTGCCAAAGCTATAAAAGTAAGAACAGAGGATGCTCATGTATGTCTGGAATGGATTAGAGCAAAAATGATAAGTTGATTAATCATTGAGGTTTCAACTGTGAGCAGGGTGGAGACTGTTTTGGAGAGAGAGAGAGAGAGAGTGTGTGTGTATGTGTGTGTGTGTGTGTGTATTGGGGGTGGTATATTTGGGCCACAGTACAGCCTAGCAACCCCTTCCAGCCATTTAGTCCTTAGCTGAGTCTTCAACACAGGCTGGGCAGTGAAAATCCCTTGTGGCCAGAGAGAAAAGCTGAGTTAGGCCCAGTAGTCCACACTGGGCTATTTATAGACCCCAACCCCCCCCCCCCGTATACACAGACTTAGAATGACACAAACACACACTGAAAAAAACTGGACACACACACTTGTTCCTTCATCCCCTCATTTTTTATACTGTGTCTTACTTAATAAGTGCCTTTTTCCCAACGGCTGCCAGAGAGAAAGAACGAGCACACATACTGTATATACACAGACACAGAGGGGGTGAGGGGTGGGGAATGTCTAACCTTTCAAATCAGTTACTCTGGCCGAGACCCAGCTCTAGCCACCGTTGAGGGTGACTGCTATGTGTGCATGACTCTGCAGAGTTGTCAAAGACGGAGAGATCGAAGGATGGGAGAGAATGAAGGAGGGATGGAAGGAGAGATGGGAAAGTTAAGAAAGAGAGTGAATCAGGGAGAGGAGGAAGGGAAAGAAAGTGGGCCAGGGAGCCCCGTCCCTGCTGCACAAAGAGCCTCATTGTGAGACTCTTCTGACTCTTTCCTCCCTCCCTGCCTGCCTCCGTCTCTTCCTCTCTCACGTACAGTCCCCACTCTCCCTCCGCCAAACTTCCCTCCTCTCTCCTGCTTTTCTAAATTTGTTTTTCCTCTTCAGTCTAAAAAGAGACACTTGTGGTGTGTGTGTGTGTGTGTGTGTGTGTGTGTGTGTGTGTGTGTGTGTGCGCGCACGTGAGAGCTGAGGGAGTCCTAGCTTGTCCTATTACCGTCCACTGTTCCTGTGGGACAAAGTCCAGTCAGCCGAGGCTACTAGAGGTCACTCTACCTTGTGCTGATGGTTACCATGACCTGAGCCTATGTGAACACTGTGAGTGGGGTTGTCAGAGCAACAGCAGACTAGGGGGGGTTCAGGGGTGGCAACAGGGCAACTCAAATCAGAAATGCTCTTATTAAGAATAAAAAGTTATTCCCAGTAACTAGGAGCACTTAAAATACATTTAATGGCATTTTTGTTCATCTTCTCTTGCCAAGGCCAATACTGTTGATTCATAAGGTAATAATATTGCCAGTGTGTGTGTGTGTGTGTGTTCTCACCAGCTTGTTGGAACATGACCATGGTTTGTGGCGTGGTGTGAACCGGCAGGGAGCGGGTCCTCTGCACAGAGCTGTGGGTCCGGCTGGGCATGCTGTTGCTTCCTCCAGGGTTGGCGAACCACAGACCCTGAGGAGAATATTTGAACCAAAACATTAAAGCAACTTCTGTAATATCAGTGTTGTAGTTATGGTAAAAATACATTTGTCTTATTTAATGGCGGAAAATCGAAACCACCACCAATGTCTCATCTACTGGTGTCTCTCAAACTTCATGAAAATCTGACCAATAATTTTTGGGAAGTTTTGTTCAGAAACAGAAATGAAAGACAAAACAAATAAAATTTCTTCTGCTCTCAAAATGCAGAAACTAAACTAAACTCCACACAGAAATTGTGCTTAGATAACGCTTGGCGGGATAAATATTATCAGGTTATCTGAAAGTGTCACCAATCTCTATTTTTGAGACTTTTAAACTTAAACTTTTCCATGTAAGTTTTGTCTGAATTGAACAAATATTTACTGGATAAAGCACAATGAATGAATGGCAAACGTTGAATGTATCTTGAGGTAATTAGAAAGTTCAATAATATATATATATATATATATGTTTTTTACAATAATTACATTTTAATGTGTAAACAAATTCAATCTATTTTAGTATTAAAAAAAACTATTCCACCAGGATGCTCTAATTTATGACCTGTGGATAACCAACATTAAATACTGACATTTATTTTCTCTCATATAATATAAAACATAAAACAAATAAATTAATTTCATGCTCAAACATCCTCTTCTTGCTTCATGCTCATTCACTGATCACACGCTGATAAAACTTTCACTGATCAAAAAGCTTATGAAATAAAATTTCACACTTGAAAGAAGTCTTTTTTAAGATCAAGGACACAGCTTCTTCAACATGTTCACCCCCCCCACGCTCCTGTCTGGATGTCTGGCCCACACCTAATGACAGTCTCAGACACTCACCACATGAATTCCTCACTGTAACCTGCCTATTATACCCCCAACACCACTACCACATGCCCCTCCCCTCCCTTCTCTCCCTCTGCCCCCCCTCACGGCTCTCCAGTGCCGTGGGCCAGGGAAAAACAGGAAATGCCTGTGCACTGTTCTCACTGCCTCTGACTGGCTCTCTCACTCCCTCTCTCATACATACTCATATAAACTCTCTCTCTCTCTCTCTCTCTCTCTCTGTCTTTGCTCCTCCTCCTCCAACACCACAACTACCTCTCCCAAACTATGACTCACATATTTCCCTCCCACCCTCCTTCTCCTTCTCTCTCTCTCTACACATCCACACTACAGTCCCACACAAGGAGACCCAGCGTGACAAGGAGGAACTGAGGTATTTCCTCCCATTGTAAAGGATGAGAGGGAGAGAAAGAGGAAGAGTGAGAGAGGGATGGAGGGAGAGAGAGAGAGGTTCACTGTGAACTGTGTCAGCCCAGACCAAGTGTGCCAGGATGGGCCTGAAACAGCTCCACAGCTCCTCCTGTTTCAGTGTTCGGCACTGACGCAGAGCCTCTGGTATGTGGGGTGACCTGCCTACAAGTTCCATCCACCTCACTTCATTCGCCAAACACCACCACTGCTCCTCTTCCTCACCCCACATTTTTTCAGAATGGAATAAAAAGACTATTTTAGGAGGAATACGTGCTGAAGAAGGAATTCTGCTGCCCAGGTTATTGTAAACATCCTGGAATGTATTATTTCACATTTCAAAATGTTCCTTTGTACAGTCACGAACACCACTGCCATTCAGCATTCCAGTCACTACATGCACATATAACAATACCATGAATCTAGTTTTTCTGCATTGGAGGACATAAATTCACAGGCTTTTCGGGAAATCTAAACTAGTCTTCCTCTATCATCTGTCTATCCACTTGTCATTTATAATAAGTATAATAAGTATTATTATTATAAGTAATATTATAGTTAATAACACACTAAATATAAAAATGGCTGAGCGTGTTGAAGATTCTGTGTGAAAATGAACCAAATCATGCATCGTTTATCAGTTAAGGGCTGAAATAATGAATCCATTAATTGATCCGTCTTATGCTGTGAGCTCTGGGAAACTGTGCTGGGCTTTTTCCTAACTATTTTCTATTTTCATTTTATAATATAAACAATGAATCTGTAGTATAATTGACAGATTAATTGATAATGAAGATAAACAGTTTGCCATGTATATAAATAAAAGCCATTTGCTTTTTTCTCCCTGTTGGTTTGACTCACCTGTCTCCCCTGCTTGGGACCGGTAGGTGTGCTGCTGGAGCTGCGAGGTGTGGGTCCCAGCAGCCCCCCACTTCCCAACAGGCCCAGCCTGGCACCCGGCAAGCTCCTGGAGGGCATCTGGAACTGGCGAAGGCTCCTCCTGGTCGACACGCTGCCCCCAACACAGCCAGCGGTGGGGAGAGAGTTAGACTGGCCAAAACGGCTACAGCAGGACGAAACAAAAAGTGAGAAATAGGCAAGGAAATACGTTTTCACCATTATCTGTAAATCACTAAAGTTTACAAATAAAGAGCTGAATAGGCCAAGAAGGAGCTAAATAAGTTAAATGGATCAATCTGAATGTAATAAAAAACAGTCAGCCATTTTAATAATTCTTTATTTAAGTTTTACATTAATTAAATATTGACTAACCATGCTAATGAGAATGTACCTTTATTCTCCAACTGAGGTGACCATTTGTCTAAAACCTAAAGAATAAATCCTTCTCTAACTCTGTCTACATTGGTGTTCAATCATTTTTTTCTTTTCTCTGTGTGTATGGAAAATATACAGTGGCCGTGCATGTGTAATGTTTATTTGTGTAGAGAGGAGTATATAGCATGAACCAATGCCACATACCACAGCATTTATAGCATAAGTTCATTTTAAAAGCTCATCCCTGGATGGGCCTTTAATATACATACAGAACAAACAGAATTTACAAATAATGATAAAATAAAAGTACCATAAAACAACAAGCACCACATCATCCATGACTAAATGACTGATCCTTCTTGTTTCAGTTGATCCAATCATGATCTATTTTGAGTTCTGTGAGTAAGGAGTTCCACATGTTGATCCTCTGAACAGAACAACCATCTGTCCAAGTGGATTTCTGACATTTCTCACTCATTCAGTCATTTATAGACAGAAATCTCTAGTCTTTACTTACAACCTGGATTTTACTGGTTGCTTTGTTAAAGTTGAAATGTTTTCATCACAGCCAATAAGACAGGAAAATTAAGGTTCCTGAATGTCTGTGTGTGTGTGTGTGTGTGTGTGTGTGTACCTCCTCTGCGGTCTGTACCCTGCTATGTCAAGGAGGGTTTTCCTGGGAATGGACCGGAACAGCCTCTGGACCTGTTGTTTCCATGACAACAGCCTCTTCTTCTGCGTCTCAGTGAAGGACTGACAGGGAGGGGGAAAGGGGAGAACAGGAAGCATGAATGGATGAAATAAGGCATGACTGGTGCACAGCATGACTCAGGATTTTCAGGTACACTGTGTCGACATAAATAACATAAAGAGAAAATCGAAAGCATGATACATTGATCATATTTACAATGAGACTTTCGGTATCTCCAGCTGAACAGTTTCATAGAGACAGAGAGTGGTGTGGATCAGAGTATTTCTCTTTAAACTAGCAGAACTGTGATCCATGGTATGGATCCCAGGGTGTGTTTTTTTACTGACCTGATTTTCTGATTTGTACTAACTACATGAATAATGATGAAATCAGCCATAAAATACAAATCAGACAGAAATTTAAAAAATTAAGAATGAAATGCTATTCAAACTTAAATCATTAAAAAACTTTGATAACAGGCTATATGTTGGTAGATATGTTGGTTATTGGAAATAAAATTCCCAGTGAGTTATATTGATACCATACCAAAACATCTTGTATCGTCTGTTCCTACTTTATTTATCCCCTAGGGGAAATTCAGGTAAGTATGTATGTACTGTATGTATATGAAGTGATGTATTGTTTTTTTCCCCTTCATTTTGACATGAAAATTGTGTGTGTATACCTCATGGATAAGGCACTTGTCGATGAGTTGTAGGTAGGAGCTGATGTTGTCCTCGTCTGACCTCGACACCAGTAGCTGTGTACAAACTGAGGATGGGGTAGAGGTGGAAAAGACGATATTAAAACAAAACAAAAACCTTCCTGAGTCCATGAAAACAATCTCAACTGAGCACTGGTGCATTCAGCTCACCTTTGCCCATAACACGAGTGAACTGGCCGGGTAGATCCCCCTCTGCGATGACACTTGCGCCTGACTCTGCTTCCCCTCCACCTCCCCCACCCAGGTGGGAGCCAGGTGCAGCGTTCTTGCCCTCAGGGCTCAGGAGGGGGCGCTGCAGGGAGGCCTCTTCACCACCACTGAAAGCCTTGATAGGCGTCATGATCATCTGGTGGAGCTCCTGCAGCGGGGCACGCAGATTACTGCCCTCCAACACGTCCTGGTGGTGGTAAATGATAGGAAGGACATGGAAGAGGGGGAGCAGATCAGAAAAATTAGAAAGAATGAAGAGATTTTACTTAACAGAAGCTATGATGATATTCTGATGATTTAATTGTAATGATACAAGAAAAAAATCTGTTACTTCTGACCTACATGTTGAATATCAAGAGACAAACAGATGGTGAGGGATCCCTGACCAAACAGCCATGTGATACAGCACAGAATAAAGTAATACCAAAAATACATACGTCTAGTCTTCCTTTACTACTTGAGTCCACGTGCATCATATCAGCCTGCCTCCCACCCATTACAGAGCCGTACATGAGTCTGTGTAAACCCAAAATACCAAGCAACAGGTGTCTTGTTTCCCTAGCCCTACAAATGCAGTGGTAACAAATTTTAAAGTGAAGCGTTGGTGAAAAGGTTAAGCCTGAATTTAGCTGGCCCAAGAAGTCCCTCCTGTGGTGTGCCCTTGAGCGCCATTGTCTTGCTTCGAAGGCTGAATGGAGGGGTGAGGGGTGGGGAGGGGGGAAGCGGATGGGTTTAAATTCGGAGCCCAAAACTCTCCTTCCTGGATTAGGTGTTCCTTTAGCTGCCATCTCAGATACGTAACACCAACTGAGAATGGCCACCCTTTTAACTCTCTCACACAGACGGGGAAAGAGAGGTGGTGTCCACTAAGGTTACAAGCTCAATCACCAATTAAAAAAACTAAAAATAAGACTTCCAATTACATATGATTTCAGGTAGGAGAAGAAAATTCATGAGAATGTTTCTGTGTGAAGATGAGGAGGAAGAGGAGAAGGAGATGGTATACAGGCACTCTGACCTTTTCCAAGCTGCGCAGTAGGTTCTGCCTCTCTTTGAGCTTCTGAATGCTGATGACGATCTTGTGTCTTGCTCCTTTAGTGACTTTCTGTTAGAGGAAAGAAATTTGTGTCAGACATCTGTTAAAATACTGGTCTGTAGACTGATACCTATAGTTTCAGATAGACGTGTGCAGTGTATAAAATGGAGCAGAGGACGTGACAGCTCTGTTTTTTGAGAAAATGTAACAGCAAGAAAAAGTGAGGCGAGACTTAACTTATCCACTGAATTTTATTTGGAAGGACAAAAATGCTGAAACTGATTCTAGCAAACTGATTTTGGTTGAGGCTAATTTCAATTCTCACATGTCCCATGAAAGACTGATACTGACAATCCAGGTATTTTCCAGATCAAGCCAACAGCAGTATACTGAATGCTCTGTCACACAAAGGAACTCTTTGTCTTTTAGTTGGAGTTCAGCATGTCTCAGTGTAGCTGTGCAATATGTTAGGCTGAGACAGAGAAATCGTTACCAGCACCTGGAGGAAGTTTACAACTTCCCGGTGAGCTATGTTAATATTAGCTGCATCCTCTGTGTCCTCAGCATCTTTATCTAATATATTGTTATTGTACCATATATTCCACCATTATCAGCTTTTCAACATGACCTGGATAAGCCTAGCTACAAAATTACTTTGATTTTCAAAACTAAGATTGATTAAAACTAGTCACGTGAAGATAGCTGTTTTTATTCAATATTAATACAGAGTATTGTTTAAACTCTTATTCATCTTCATTCTTCATTGCCTCTCATGTACCTGAACTACATGTTGTCCTTAGATGAAGTATTGCCTTGCATACCAATCTCAACTTGTGTCAACAATGTCAACAAATCTAAATTGGTGCATTATATAAGGTTTATACTGAATGTATTTGATAATGTTGACTGAATCAGTTTATCCATTTTAACAATTCACATCAGTGAATAGAATAGAAAGCATCCTGTAATAGCTAAGTCCATGTAAAGTTTTTATCCTCTTCCAAAACTGACTGAAAACTGAATCTAACTCTGTCTATGTGTGTGAGTGTGTACAAACCTGTGCCTCTAGCTGGTCTTCAGTCAGTGACATCATCTCATCATAGGTCATAGTGGAAAAGAGAGCGGCGTATTTATGGAGACGGAGACTCTTCAGCCACGCAGGAACATCTGTGGGACAGAAAACACACACGCACACACGCATTACATTATCATAGCTGCTGACAACATTCAATCTACACCGTTTATCTTTGTTGTCAATACAAATATGTAGCACATAAGAAAAAATAAATACATTTAATGTATTTAACGATAGTTCCTAATAATGTCTTAAAACATGAACTGGATAAGCAGTAGAAAATGGGTGGATAAAATTGAGTCCACACATGAATTTTATATAACATCAGAGATCTGGAACAATGGTACTTTCCAGCCAGTTTTTTCCTAAACCCAAACACAAAAACATTTCATAAGTAACATTACTGTATATATTTATATTTAAGACCTTTGATAATTAAATATGTTAATGGCCTTTTGTGAGGAAACTTAAACCAATGCTTTTTAAGACTTTTCAAAACCCGCAGATAGTAAAAGATAACAGTAGACCTATGGTAATATGTTTTAAGCACACATGAAAAAAATTGCTAGTTTTTAGGGCAAATGTGTATGACATGCTGTTGGCAAAAGGATTGACTAATCTAATTGTTACTGATGACATATTTAGTCAGACACTGCTCACTGGAAAAATGCTTACTAATGATCAACTTGTCCGTACTCAACATTCAAAGTGCTGAAAGTGTTAGCTAGTTGTTGAGACAGCTTTGTGATCATTTGGAGTTCAGGGTGAAGCCTAGTGTTTTAGTGGTTTTGTTGCTTACAAGTTTATAACAGAAGCACCAACAAACATTCTCTTTTATGAAACTTTGTTATTCCTTTGTTTTTTCCTTTGTTTATGTCTTTGTTGTTTTTTGAGGGCTCACTTAGACACACTTGTAAAAGCTCTGAGAGGGAACAGGGACTTGTATGACTGAACATCTTCCCTAATCTCCACCTACCCAACCTGATATGGAGTTTCAATACACAAGCAGAGCTCCACCTTCCAGTGAGTAATACAAACTTCAGCAGAGTGTTTGATCACAGTTAGACAGTTGTTTGATTTAGCTAAATAATGAATATTGTGATAGAGTTTAAAATTAAGTTTGCGATGAAAGAAAAATAAAACATTTGGGGGTTCACCTTATCTTAGATTAAATCTTGAGAAGTCAATGTTCTGTAACATCATGGAAATTAAGAATCTTATTTCCCCATCTGATACTTGACACCCGGTGCAGAGTCTCTTCTAACAGTAACACAAAACTGAAAAATGGTTTTAACATTCTCCTCTGAAATGAAATAGACAAATGACAGCTTCAGCTCGTTCTCTTAGGACTGTAGATGAGAAATGTTCATTTTGTTTCACAGGTTTAGCTGGATGACAACAAGACAAATCTTTGTAAAAAGAAAAGACAGGAACTACATGAGAGGTTTAACTCCAGTGTAGACAGAGTAAGGTCAGTGGGGTCAGCAGTTCTGGCCTCTGCTTTCCCTGACAAACTACTCCAACCAGACCAACAACCTGCCAAAGCCTCCAGCTGAATGTTTGTTAGGCACACATAGCAGACGGTCATATAAGTTTCTCCACTGAATTGGTCATGTCTCTATCCCTGTTATCACTCAGATCTTGTAGGGAAGCCCATATGCAGGGCAGAGAAGTTCCCCATTCCTCATGAATCCTACCAGAATGTCTTTAAACACGTCACAGAAAGACAGACCAGTGTTACGTCACAGTCCATGCAGCAGTAAAAACAGGACCTGCACTGTCTGCCTTCATCTTTTCCCAGAACATGAACATACTACAGCACAGCTGCCTTTAGAAAGCCAAACAATTTATGTGGAACATCTAACAGCAAAATTTTAAATCACTTAACAATGAATTTAAGACATTGTCATTATTTATATTGTCAAATGAAGGTAATATTATTAATGTCAAAATGCCTTGCCCTAACAATATTACTAACATTATTGTTAAATTAAATGTACAATTACCATTAATTGAGATCATAAAGTTGACAACAAACATGTCCCTGCTTTTTAAAGGTAGTTTCTACTTGTTCCCTCTTATTGTAATTTCTGAAAAAGCGAGCAAGCAGGGAAAGACAAAGAAAGTAAAAAATGTCTGCTCAAAAAGTTACTGGAGTTGCCAATTACTTTTAGAAATCAAGAATCTGAAGTTATGTTAAAAATCCCCATGTAGTGATGCCATCACTAAGTTGGCCATGGGCTGGCTCTGAGGCTGCCTCATACTGTCGCCCTGAAGCTGCTGCTAGTCCGCAATTCACTTAATTTCCTGTCAGTCTCTCTGTGACAGATTTTACACTGGATCAGACTCTAAAAGTAAACCACACTACCACAACATTACTATCTATACAACCTTGTGGGTACATGATAATGCTGATAATGCTGAATTATACTTCTGACTGGTCTTTCTTACTCACCCCTCATGCCACTGCCCTCCTCATGAAAGGAACTACGATGCAGACCTGAACCACCTCCTAAACCAGCCTCCTCCAGATGCTCACTGCCACCACTGCCTGAGGAGGCGATGCTGCTCTGGGGTGATAGAGGTGCGTGGTCTGGGGCTGGGCCTCGAGTGGTCCGTAGGTCCTCCTGAGACAGCCAGACATGGCCCAGAGGCTGGTTGCTGGGGCCGCTCATGGGAGGCGTCAGGGACACGGAGCGCTTCAGGGGACTGTGAGGCTGACTGCCACCTCCACTCGTCAGGACTGCAAGGCAGGGGCAGGCTGTTACAAAGAGCTTGGCTAAGACTGGAGAAATCATACACTAATGTAAAGATTGCAGATTGCCTGAAACCCTATCCCACATAAGACTCATCTGTCCTAAACATCACCACGTATAACTGTTAATTAACTGTGACACCTGATTGGCTGATGGTAATGGTTAGATCTGCCTGACCCTCATCTCATATACTGTAAAAGCAATAACTAACATTCTGCCAAATGTTTAAGCACCATTTATTTTTAATACATATACAAAATGTGATGCGAATTATTTCATTATATGTATTAAAAATCTCAAATCGCATATTTGATAAATACGTTTAATCCAGAGTCTGACCCTGGGAGGAAAGAAGATTAATTACTCACCTATAATCATACAGTGAATAGCTAGGTTTTTATTACCAGTTAATTAAATGTTCTCGTTGTCAGCTATAACCAGGTACTTACTAATCTGATATTGATACATCAAGCATTGCAATGAATTCCCTGGATGCCTCTGTTGGCTTTGTAAATTTTATTAAGATTAATATGATAAATATTTACACTGATCTCCATCTACATTCACTTGCAATGTAGCTCTCCTCAGATGTATCCCACTATGTGTCTGAATTTTCTGTATTTCCTTTTACCCGTGAATAACGTTAGATCTCCGGAGCCAAACTAAGCTAAAAGTAGCTCAGATGTGAAATTAAAGCGCAGTGTTTGTTTGTAAGTTAACTGAGGCAGGTGGAAGGAGGAGGCCACATTTGCGAGAGAGGAAATACACAGGGCTCTGCTTCACCTGCTTGTTGGTTTAAATATTCAGCCTTGAAGCTCAGAACCAAAACAAAACCTACTGAATGAAATAAATCCATTGCCAAGAAATCTGTGTGATAAACCTTTTTTCTCTCTTTCTCCATCTTCCTATCTCATCTCATTTCTCTATTAATAATTGAAACCTGTGATGAATTTATGATGAATTCATGTTGGAAACCTATTGGGTTCAAACCAATGTTACTGTTACTACTGAAATCCCACTATTTTAAACCCAATACAAGCAGTCCTAGCCTCAGAGGTTTTCCCTGTCGAAGGAGGTAAACAGAATGAAAAGGTGGAGAGCCAAAGAGCTTTTTGTGTCGCCGCTCTGACGGGGTAAGCTGCCACCAATACTCCAGCCTCTCTCCTCCTCCTATATGTGGTCCTCTTACTGTTGGCGCTATGTATAGGACTTCATGGGCCCCGTTTAAAATAGGTGCCCAGCTAACATTACAAGTTCCAGTCCCTAAATATTAGCCATTTTCCCTAAATACAGTCTCCCACAAAGGCTGCCTTACAAGGGAAAGGATGGGTGGTATGCCCTGCTGTGGCTTGGACTCAGGCTGAGAGTATGGGTGGAGAGGGGTCATCAGGATGTTCTATCAGTAGCAGGTTGATGTGGTTGGACAATAATACTCCTGTAATCCTCATCACCATCATGGCACAGATGAGCACAGTGTGTGGGGAGGGGGACCTGAAGACTTGGTGGCTGACTCTGACTATATGCTGGATATTTAGTGATACCCAATGAGGAGAGAAATATTAAGACTATTTTATTATCTTCCTCTGACCTTTTCACACTGGTAAATATCCACACACCAGTTCCAGGTTGCTTGTTGGATATTCAACACTTCTTCTCACTTGAATCAGTTAAGGAACGCATCTGCTCACCGTGTCCATCACTGTCGAGGCTGGGGTAACTCTAGTTTATCAGTTGTGAAATCCTGAGGTCTTTTGTGTGGGACTGAAGCCGCTTGCAGTCAAAAATACAAGAGGATCTTTCTTGGAGCAGTGAGCAGGGCTTTAAATGTGTCTTTATTTATAAACCCTCAGCTGTTTCTTTCATCTCCCAGGAAAAAAAAAAAAAACACAGAGCCCTTGCATTCTTGTCTGGAAATATCCTGCTCTAACCATAGTTATGTTCAATTTCAACAGCCCTGCCCTCTCTGTGTGTTGTCTTCCACCTCACACAGCCTCTGTAGCTGCTGTGTGGGTTGTTCAGAGTGCAGTTTGTCTGACCAGAGTAAATTTGCTGTGTTGAGTCTATTTAGTGTGTTCAGGGTGTGTTATACTGTGTTTGGTAAGCTTGGAGTGTCTTTAATGGAATTACAGTGAACCCAGTGTTGGAACTGAATTTAAATATGCATTTGTTGTGCTGCTAAATGCTATACAGATGCTTTGCTGTGCTTAGTGTCAGTGATTATTATCCAATCAAGCACAGCTGATACCAAAATGAATCCCTACGATTTTCATTACAACAGAGAAAAACCTTTGTCATATAGCTGCATACTGTATTGTGTTTCAAGTGGGTACTGCAAAGCCAACACCTCCTATTTGACAAATAAAGTGGCCTTGTTTCATTTGTTTGCCACATGAGTTAAAGCTTAGAGACTCTGATCTGAAGTTGTGCCTGGGTGCGGACGATCAGGTGGCCGCCCCAGACAGGGAGGCTATCATCAGGCCAGCCCAGAGTAGGTGGCTCTAATTGCTGAGGTGGTCTCAGAGGGTGCAGTGGTTGTGACCACCTTGGCTTTAGAAGTACACAAGCTAGTCTGGGTTGAAATGCAGCCCATCTCATGTTTGACAAACATATGACAATCAAAGGAAGTAAAGTGTGAAAGGATTGCAATCTTTAATCCAGGCTTTTCAAAAGATAGCATCAGGTGTGTGTAACTCCTCAGACGCAAAAAAATTATTTATTCCAATTTATTCCAAATGGTGGCACAATGTGGACTAATGTCACATTTTGGCATTTTGACATTTTTCTGTGAAGTGGGCCAATCAAAGGAAGTAAACATGCCTTCTGATGCTAAGTGATGAGAGGAGGATAAATATTGATGAATTAGTTTATTCCTGTGACTAAGGAATCTAAACATTGGGCAGGTATGAGCGCACAGCCATCAATCTTTAGCAATATGATCTATCTTCTTAGTCAAGACTCCTTTAATAGAATTTGTGGATGACACAGACACAGTAACCCAGTTGAAGTTTTACTGGTTTCTTTTATGTCTCTTGTGATTAACTGATACAGAGGATTTTTTTCATTTTAGTTAATAATTTGGCCAGTTTAAATGCCTACACACAATTTGAAATAATTTTTGGGAGGTCTATCCGTTCTTTAAGTTCATAACTTAATGAAGGTATGTACTGTAAATCACACCCTACTGTCATCCCTAATGTCTGTCTCTCCATCCACATGACACCTGAAATATGGATGAGGATGACAAATATATTGTTTACAATAACAAATGCTGTAATTGGTGGATCATGATGATGGACCAGAGTTAGAGATACTTGTGCTATTTTAATATTTACATATTTTAAGGAGCTTATAATTACATTATGTATGTCTAATTGAGGCAATTTATTATTTTTGATCATATTTTCAAAAGTTGTTGCAGTATTCTAACACGTACTATTACACTGCATTATATTGTTGTATTCATTACATTATCAAGTGCTTCACTGTACGGCTGCTACCAAAGAACCAACCACGCATGCTGACCATGTGTGCTATTAAAGCACAAACATGATTAGAAAAGGACACACAGTACAAGGAACAGAGCACAGATGGGATTTCACTTACTAGTGTTACCGCCTCCACCAGTTCCAACTGTGTTTATGGTTGCCGGAACAGAGGATGATGGGTAGAGAAGCAGGTGCCCATTCTCACAGCCCTGCTGCTGCTGATGCCATCCTCCGCCCAGCCCTGAATCCCTGGAGCTCTGCCACCCGTTGAGGCGGTCGTCTGAGCCGTAGCGCTGGTGGTGATGCAAGGAGTACAGGTTGCCTGATGAAGAGGTGTTAGTGGAGGAGGAGGATCCTGATGAGGTGAGGGTGGATGGAGGTGTGGACTGGTGGTGGTGGTGGTGTGGCCCCGCAGGAGGAGGCCTTTCCAGTGAGTCTCCCCGAGCAGCAGCCCTTTCCTCCAGGTGGTTGAGCCAGAGTGCCAGGGCAGCGCGGTCTTCCAAGGAGGTGGCGGGGTGGATGAGGGCGTAGGACAGGAGCTGGCGAGACTCCTCCAGGTGGTGGCCATGCTCGATGGTGTGGGCCAGGATGCGTGGCAGCAGGCGCATATACTCACCCTTGGCTTCAACATTGCCAGGTTTGAGCAGTGGGAGATGGGTGAGGACAAGTGAGATGACACGCTCCTTAGGCTCGCCTTGCCACTGGCTGATCACTCCTGTTGGGAGACAAAACATAGGAAGCATTAAAAACCAATTACCCACAATTCATTGCTACAGTTTTTATCAAAATTGTGCAGTATACGACTGTTAGGTATGACTGTATGAATTCAAATGTTTGCGTCTCATTAAGTCTCCATCCAATCATGACCCTGATTGACCTGATTGGACCACAGTGATGAAACTGATCATCATCTGATCTAAAATTACAGCAAAAGAGAGAATCCTGCTGCATGATATCCAAGGTGGTAGCAAAGGCACAGTAATTGATGGATAGACAGATGGATTAGTGAACACATGTACAGGTTATAAATAGAAGACACCAGGATGATGTCAGGCCCACTGGACTGTCATCCTTCTATTTTGCCGTTTCTCTACACACCCAGCTCTGTAGGCTGCTGGTGGCGGCTGTACAGCTCTATACATAACCTGGAGACCATGGAGCTCTATTGTTGTCCAAATCAGTAGGCCATTAGGAGCCCATTCCTATCATCTTGGACCAGGCCTATAGATACCAACAGGTCAGGGCAGCAGCTTTGGACAACCATGCAAATAGAGAGAGGATGCAAGAGGACGCAGGCCGGCTTCACTTCCTGCTTGAGAGATGTGTCTGTGGGAATTTGACCACTGTGGCCATTCTTAACTTTAAAGATCTTGTCTCTAAACCAGACATATGAAACATGTGAAACCAGAAAAAACATCTGCTAGCCCTTCTGTCCAAAGATATCCCAATGTCACAGTCTACTTTGTGGTGATGTACAGCTCTGTCTGCCCTGTTGAGTGGACAGCTGCAGCTCTGATCAGGCAGATGGAAGACCACAGACCCCGAAGCCTTCCAAACAAGGTTCACGTCTACTTCATCCCGTGAGAGATGACCACGACTGAGGGATTAAATAATTCTGGCTGAAGCCTACTCGCAGCATGGAGCTGACAGTTTTACACACGTTTACACATACAATCCTATGCCTGTCTACTCATTGGAGGATCAGAGGCCAGCGTATGTCCTGGTAAAACTTTTTTTTTTCCCCAAAGTCCAGTTTTTTTTAAAATTTCAAACCACAACTGTGAGACAGAGCAATTGGACAATGTCAACCCACTCAACTGTTCAATAACTTTATTGAGATGAAAACAGGGATAAAAGTATGGTTCTCAGTAACTTTATTTTTGAAATTACATATGTCCTGTATGTGATGTGATCTGTGTTTAATACTGTTGAGATGAGGTCAAAGACAATTCCTTAGTTTGGCCATTTATCCTATTTGGTCAATATATTTATAAATTGTTGTAAATTATATTTTGGCATTGGCTATTTACACCATCAAGAGTGTTTTTATAACAATATACCACAAAAACCTTCCGTTTCAGGCTTCATGCTTGGTTGTTTTCAGGTTAAAAACAGCCTTTTTTCCCTCTCAGAACACACAGTACTCCTGATTGAAAATTTTCACAGGCACTTTTTGAAGAAAAGTTCTTCAGATCCATGTCAGCTAATGTGAATGGGTGACATGAAGGGACATGACAGAGTGAACTAGGCCAGGCTGTCCCAGAGCTCAGTACAGAGCCTACACTAGGAGAGAGGAGGTGGGCTAAGACTGAGGTATAAAGGGGTTTGAGAGGGAGGAGGAAAAAATAAATGTAGGGAGGGAGCACTGTGTGTGAGGGGAGCCAGGGAGTTACTCCACTCTGCTCCAGAGATGATGTAATCCTTCATTCCTCTGAATGAGGCAAGTCTCGGTCCATCCATGAACAGGAATTGTTCCATGATTAAAACTCATTCATTTCCAAATGACTGGAAAACATTAAGATGTAACACAGAAACCCTCATAAATACTCAAAGAAAGTTTACAGAAGCAGCGGTGCACTGCCAACTTTTAAACATCACCATTATACTTTGACAGTAAAAAAAGTACTTTTTGTCACAGACTCAATAACCGATGGCAACTAAAATGTCTCAAGCAAAAATTTGGTAAAACTTGACATTACAACCTGTACTAATTGTTGTAATTTAAGTATTAATGCCGTATATACACCTGTAATAATCAACAAAAAGCATTTTATGTTCAAAACATTCAAATATGTAAAAAAAAAAACATTAATGTAAGTTCTGAATCAGTATTCAAAAATCAACTTTAATGACTGATCCAAAGCCATCATGTGTAGCACTATTTCTTGACTACATACAACACTTGTTCCCCAAATTATCAATGTTACTTTTAGCTAAATAGAGCAGCAAACCAGTCCTGTGACCAAACATTGTGACGTCAACTGTGACTTGACAGATGAGCCTGTTCAGGACTCACACATCATATCAAAAGACAATCTACATTTTCATTTTACTTAAAGTAGTAATTAGCACAGTGATCCTATGAGTTCTCTGTATGAAAGGGTCTGTGTTTGTCTTATTGTCTTTTCCTGTCTCTGATTTCAGCAGGGTTTTGACAGGTAGAAAGTTCTTTCACCTTAGAAATTTTCACTTCCTCCCTCCATGCAGTTCCAAGCACTCATAGCCAGCAGAACACATGTCAAAGTCTAGCACTCCCCCATGAACTCCCTGTCAAGGCTGTAGAGTGCAAACCAAGATATCAATAGAGATCTATATTAATGTAAAATTATGTTAATTGTAAAATTCCAAGGATGCTTGGATGAATTGTTTTATAATTTTGCACAAAACTGGAAATTTTCTCACAACTGACTACAACTACAATGAGCATGAGGAATACACAACATATCTGGATGGACACCACACACACAAACATCTGTCATTTGTATGGCAGATTTTTCAAAGAAAATACAAAGACAATTGCCACATGTTCTTTCACAGTGTGCACCTTCCCTTTACTGATCTACAACCCTTTACCAATTGATTCAGATCATTAGTATGTCTGTGTCTGTCAGATCTGATTTTGCAGAATCATTCATGTGCATCAACAGAGAACCACTATAACAACAATGCAACAATAGTCTGTGAAATAATGGTCAAAGGTCAATATTACTGGCTAAATAGAAATGTGACAGCCAGGTGAGCAGGTGATTTGACAAAGGCTCATTTACCTTGTCCTTCACTTTAAACAGGTGGTCAGTTTCAATCACATTGCAGAGCACTGCAATGATGGGATAGAAAGTTCTAATTTACACTAATAAAGTAATACTATTACATAGAAATACACAAATACAGTAATGCTGTATTCTGGTCAGAGACCAAAGATACGTGGATGCTAACCCTGTGAAGCTAACAATACAGTGCTGCCTCTTCTGCCTGCAAAGACGAAAAACTGGTATTTGCAGAGATGTAGCTAAAGTAAAGACTAAAAGTTAGAAAAAAGTGTTTTTTATCAGAAGTATTGAAGTTTAAATTAGAAACTAGAACTTTCCTCCCTGAATAAATACTTTTTTAAAACTAAATCAGAAGAGAAAAAGTCCGGAAAAAGGTTTGGCTAGAAGTCAGGAAGCTACTCCAGGCTTATTGACGTCCTACTCTAAGGTGAAAAGGTCAAGGAGTCAGCCTTGGAACAGTTCCCCTCACAGCAAACAAACAGGCAGCATCTCTTAAAGCTCAGAGAGGGGTCACAGTAGTCTCAGTCAACACAGGTCAAAGGTCAACTGCTAGGAGAAACACTCGTCTACCTATTACACAAATGGACCAGATTCTCCCAGCAAGACAGAGACAGACAGAGTGAATAACTGTCTAAGTGTGAAATCAACCAGCCAATGCTGCTGAGAAAATATTCACGGAATGACAATTATTAGAAAATACAGCACACTCACAATCGAAGAAGCCATTAACTGTTCATAGATTCACATAATACAACAAGTCAAATTAAATTCAAAGCAGACAGGAAGAGAAGGTTTTCCCATTCATGTCAGACTCTTTCCTTCCCTCCTCCCCTAGCATGGTCTCTCCCACCCTGAGCCTTGAGGGGAAAGTGCTAACCTCATCCAAATGGAGTGAAAGGGGGGGGGTTTACGACACTGACAGAAGAGAAACACTGGAAACACTGAGTTGCCATTCCTCCTTACACAGCGATACCAACAGCTCATTTTCTTTTGAAGTTTCTGACTCAGAGTTTCACTGTGAATTTCACTCTGTTGAACTGATCCACCTCTGCATCCCAGCTGACAGAGAGGATGCAGAGGCAGGCCTGGTTAGTCAGATAACTGTCAACCCTGTGAATATCAGATTTTCAACAAAGTGAAAAAAAAAAAAAATTGTCTACCATACATTGAGCAATAAAGCAGTCAAACAAAATAAGTAAAAAACAAACAGAATGCAGAATGTGAAAGCCAGTGTGAGTTATTCAATGAGACAAAGGTTTAATTTGTTCTTTCATGTAAGACAGAGAGACAGCGGCATGCTGGGAACTGATGAATCACATCAGCATCATTGAGTAGAATGACTGAAAAAGAAAGTCAGACATACACAAACACTGAAACCTCAGACAGAGAGAGTCATTTGTTCGGGGGCTGACACAGCATTTCCCTGCTGTGGACAATGTCTGCTGGTGAACTCTGTGTGCTATCCTGCCCTGGCACTGCCCTCTGACACCCTCTCTGGCACCAATACAATGGTGCTGCTTTCAGCACAGCCCTGCCTCTCTGAGTACAGCTCTTCCAAACTGTACGCTTTTCGTCCACAACCTGGCCACTTTGTCGTCACTGAGGAATGTACAATAGAAACAGAAAGCAGACAGACAGACAGGGAAGTCAGTGGGTCACTGTGTTTACACACACAAAAAAACTTTGTCAGTATATTATACTATAATATCATTAATCAAGGACATAATTGACAGATGCATTGATAATGAAGATAGTCATTAGTTTGAGTCATACTGTCAATGCTCTCAATCAAGGTTATGAGACATCAGGTGGCTCTATAGTGACTCTAACATCTTGTGTGAAGATGCCAATTTGTGTTCATGATGCAGTATTTGGTACTTTCCATCCTGATGGTCCCTTAAAATTAAAGAGCAAGATCGTCTTTTCAGAGCTGCCATATTATACC